CATGTGTTAATAAACATGAGTCACTTAGTGGGGAATGGCAACATCTTTAATAGTCTGTGAGATTTGGGTTTCCATGATAATATTTATCTTTATCTTGCCTTATAATGAGAAGATCTTCTGTTTTCCAGGTAGTGGTAGCAGAGAATTTTGATGAAATAGTAAATAATGACGATAAAGATGTGCTGATTGAATTTTATGCCCCTTGGTGTGGTCACTGTAAGAATCTGGAGCCCAAATATAAAGAACTGGGAGAGAAGGTAAATCGGAACTCTATTTTAAACTTAAAACTTGAGCTGGAATTTAATATAATTGTTTAGCATTTGGCTAATTTGTTGTCCTAGTTTCTAAGGACTACATTTTTTCCCCTTCACTTTCTCTTGACTGCCCCCTAGTGTCTAAAGCCTATGCAGTGCTTCAAATACCCAATTTTCCACTCCTCAGACTAAATTTAGATTATGATTAAAAATGTCTAGGAGCAGCTGGACAATGGTAACTGAGACCTATAATCCTAGCTACTCAGGAGGCTGAGATCTGAGGATTGTGGGCAGGAAAGTCTTATCTCCAATTAACCACCAGAAAACCAAAAGTGGCGCTGTGCCTCATAGTAGTAGAGCACTCCCCCTGAGCTGGAGAGACAGCGCCAGGCCCAGAGTTCAAGCTCCACAACCACCACCACCAACAACAAAAAAGACGGGCAGGGTGGGGGCGCTGGGAAGGTGGCTCAGTGGTAGGGTGCTTTCCTTGCATGCATGAAGCCCTGGTTCAATTCCTCAGCACCACATAAGCAGAAAAGGCCAGAAGTGGTGCTATGGCTCAAGTGGTAGAGCGCTAGCCTTGAGCTAAATAGCTGAGGGACAATGCCCAGGCCGAGTTCAGGCCCCACGACCAACAAAAAAGAAAGCTGAGATGTGATTGTTGAGGTTCAAAACCAGCCTGAGCAGATGAATCCAACAGGCTCTTATCTCCAATTAGCAAGCAAAAAGCTGGAAGTAGAGGTGTGTTTAAAGTGATAGAACACCAGCCATGAGCAATGGAAGTTGATTAGCTAGTGCTGGTTGCTCAGGCCTATAATCCTAGCTACTCAGGAGGCTGAGATCTGAGCATCATGGTTTGAAGGCAACCCTGGGCAGGAAAAAGCCAGAAGTGGTGCTGTGGCTCAAGTGTTGAGTGCTAGTTTTGAGCAAAAGAAGCTTAGGCACAGAACCCAGGCCCAGAGTTCAAGCCCCCCAGGACTGGTAAAAAAAAACAGCTGATTAAAAGGTTGAGGTCAAGCAGTGTGTGTGTGTTTGTGTAGCATTTGAATACTTGATCATATATAAGCTTCTGAATTTGGGTTGTGGCTTTATATGGACCCATGTGTTAGTCTTTGTAATTAATTTCTTGTAATATCTTACCACAACAAACAAATTTGAAGGTGACTATGTATTCCTGATGTATAAACACTCACTTTTCCACTTTTCTTATATAGGCATCAACTTAGGAGAAGATTTAAATATATTTTAACTACTGAGTTCACTAAATACCTACGTCACTGAAAGTTTTTCAAAATTTTAAAAGGTCTTATATTTTTATTAACAGCTCAGCAAAGACCCAAATATTGTTATAGCCAAGATGGATGCTACAGCCAATGATGTGCCTTCTCCATATGAAGTCAGAGGGTAAGTAAAATTAAGAAGCATTTGTTTGTTTTATTTTAAAATAGAGGTTCATAGCTGGGTGCGGGTGGCTCCCGCCTGTAATCCTTAGCTACTCAGGAGGCTGAGAAAGATGGACGTTCACTATTTGGCCTGGCTATTCTCAAACTAGTGAAATTAACTTCTTGGCCTTAGCCTCCAAGTATCTGGGACTACAACTGCATGACATAATGCTTGTAAACAAAGATTGAAATTAGCCAGGCACCAGTAGCTCAAGCCTGTAATCCTACTACTCAGAAGGCTGAGATCTGAGGATTGAGGTTCAAAGCCAACTTGGGCAGAAAAAGTCCAAGAGACTGTTGTTTCAAATTAACCACACAAAAAAAGTCAGAAGTGGAGATATGGCTCAAGTGGTAGAACACTACTAGCCTTGAGCAAAAGAGCTCAGAGATAACCCCTAAGTCCTGAGCTTAAGCCCCAATATGGGGTTTGGAGGCATAAAAATGAGTTTATAATAAGCCACCAAGAAGCCTTTTTTTTTTGAGGGGGGGGGGGTCCGGTCGTGGGCCTGAACTCTGGGCCTGGGCGCTATCCCTCAGCTCTTCAGCTCAAGGCTAGCACTCTACCACTTGAGCCACAGCGCCACTTCAGACTTTTTTCTTTTTGCTTATGTGGTGCTGAGGAATCCAACGCAGGGCCTCAATATGCATGCAAGGCAAGTTCTCTACCACTGAGCCACCTTCCCAGCCCAAGAAGCCATTTTTTTTTTTACTCAGTATACTGTATCTGGTCAGATTGGAAACCATAAAGAGAATTCCTAAAAAGTTACTGGGAAAATATATCTGAGAATTAACTTCTGGAATCAGTACTTAGTAAACAATTTTTCTCTCCCCAGTTTTCCTACCATCTACTTCTCTCCAGCCAACAAGAAGCTAAGTCCAAAGAAATATGAAGTAAGTACATTGTCCCATTTCCCCAAAGTAAACACACAGATAAGCCAACAGACATATATACATGCCCTGTTCTTCAATTCATCTGTTTAACTGGAAATTTGTTTCAACTTTTGGGGTATATGTGGTTGTTAAATGTGCTTTTACTGGTTGGGGGGAAAAAATGTAAAGTTTTTTTTTGAAAAGTTAAAATTTCAGAGTAATCTTTCTGCTTTTAGGGTGGCCGTGAATTAAGTGATTTTATTAGCTATCTACAGCGAGAAGCTACAAACCCCCCTATAATTCAAGAAGAAAAACCCAAGAAGAAGAAGAAGGCACAAGAGGATCTCTAAAGAGCAGCCAAACATTACCACTTTGTAAAAGGACTCTTGTACCAGAGACGGGAAAACCATTGGGGAGGACTGGGAACCATAGGGGATTATTGCCTCTCACTGCTGAGGGGACACAGTGGATGTAATCTGAATCCTGTTAAATTTTCTCTAAGCTGTTTCCTAGCTGCACTGTTTATGGAAATACCAGGACCAGTTTATGTTTGTGGTTTGGGGAAAATTATTTGTGTTGGGGAGAATGTTGGGGGGGTGAGTTGGGGGGTTATTTTCTAATTTTTTTTGTACATTTGGAGCAGTGACAATAAATAAGCCCCCTTTAAAGTGTCTTTTGTCCCCCATGGAATGGGAAAATCAGAGGTTCTCTAGACTTCTGTCCAGTAGAGCTTTCTGCAATGATGAAAGTGTTCCATAATCTGCATTGTCCAGTACATGAAGAGTGGAGCTTCTGAAATGTGGCTGGGAGCTACCGTTAATTTTCAGATCTCAGAAGCCACATAGGATCACATTGACCAGGCCCACAGTTATTGCCTCAAAATCCTTAAATTTCTCATTTCTTTGTGTTTACATACTTATTTCCCAGTTTTCTAGATTAGTGGTTAAGGCAGGTGGCAGGCCTTTCCTGTTGGCCTTTTCCTGGCCCAGCGTGTGTCCTGATGATGGCATACTGCTTATCCCTGCCATACAGCTTAGCCTTCTGCATGTTCATACTTTGCAAGGATTGTTCTATGCCCAGAAATGCCCTTGAGTGGGTGTGGTGTTGGGTTGGGGTTTCAAGGAATTGCTGACACTGCTGGGTGCAGCTCTCTCTCCCCCAAAGCCAAGGGTGTGTCCCACTCATTTGCCTCTCCTGTGGAACGGGAAAGGCAGTATTAGCCATAGTTGAGTGAAGGATCTGTTTTGTTCACCAATAAGGATAGAAGTATAGCCAGAGTAATCCTTGTATGTAGCTAAATATAAATAGCATCTAGAGTTTCAGCCCATGGATAATTCCAGATAAAACCCTAATTTTAGATGATCCTATTAACTTGTAGATTTAGCAAATTAAGCCAGGTGTGAGTGGCTCACACCTCTATAATCCTAGCTATTCAGGAGCCTGAGATTTGAGGATCATGGTTTGAAATGAGCCTGGGCAGAAAGATCCAAGAGACTAATTTCCAGATAACTACCAAAGGGGCTGGGAAGGTGGCTCAGTGGTAGAGCGCTTGCCTTGCATGCCTGAGGCCCTGGGTTCGATTCCTCAGCACCACATAAGCAAAAAGAAAAAAGCCAGAAGTGGCGCTGTGACTCAAGTGGTAGAGCGCTAGCCTTGAGCTGAAGAGCTGAGGGACAGCGCCCAGGCCCAGAGTTCAGGCCCTACAACCGGATCCCCCCCCCCCCCCCCCAAAAAAATAAAAAATAAAAAGCCAGAATGTGACTCAAGTGGTAGAGTGTTAGCCTTGAGTAAAAAAGCTAAGGAAGAGCACATAGGCCCTAAGCTCCAAACCCAGTACCAGCATACACACAGGAAGAGTAAAGCATTTCCTACCATAATCACCCAATTATCATTTATAAAATGGATTTAGTATAGAGCCTTTTCGCAAAGTAATCCTTCAGATGGTGCATAGTGTTTTAAAAAGGTAAAATTGCTGGGGCTGGTAGTATAGTTCAATGATAAAGTCCTTGCCTAGCATGTGTGAAACCATGGGTTTAATATCTAGCACCAGAAAACAAAAGTAAAAGTATCTAAATCATAATCTTGGAGATTTTAATTCAAGACAATCTGGCATGAGACAGGAGGATCTAACTTTTAAGCACTCCCAGGGTTAAGAACCATTGCCTGTACAACTTATGAAAAACAAGTTTTGAGCCAAGCACCAGTGGCTCACACCTGTAATCCTAGCTGCTCAGGAGGCTGAGATCTGAGGATCATTGTTCAAAGCCAGTCCAGGCAGGAAGTCTGAGACTCATCTCCAATAAACCACTCAGAAAACGGGAACTGGTGCTATGGCTCAAGTGTAGAGTGCTAGCCTTGAGCTGAAGAGCTAAGGGACAGTGCACAGGTCAAGAGTTCAAGCCCCAAGACAAAGAAAAAGAAAAACAAGTTTGTATCAAAGACATAAAACACTTTTAATTTAGTAGCCATGTTTGTAAAAGAATACACTTTCAGTTCATAGGTCAACCCAAGCTGTTTCCCTTTATATCTACTCTGGGTTACAAGTTACTTTAGCTCTGTTACCAAAAGTTACCATTATGTTGAAAAGCTGCTTGATGCTAAATTTACTTAGTTTGCTTTGTTTCCTCAAACATACCTTGCACGGAAATGGTGTCATTTTTCAGGATTTAGAAATGCCCTGGCTGAACTAACAGGGTCTGCTACTTTCCCTAGTCTCCAGGGCACAGAATTGTGCCCACACCCTAAAAACTAAAAACAGTGACGCTTGAAAAATCCAGCTTCAAGGACCTACTGCAGCTCTCTACTTGTCCCCAGTGGACTCAAGGGTTTAGCATAAGAAAGCTGTTTTGTCCACATTCTTGGGCAAAGGGTCTTTGCCTAATCCTTTGGATAGTTTCAGCTGCCCCTTTTCTTTTCTTCAAACTCCAGGATGAGACTTTTAATGTGGGACAATTTCTGATGCAGGTACTCACAGCGACGCTTCTCTTCCCTGTAACCTGGGTACCGCTGTAGACACAAAGACCATTCATGTCAAAAAGTAAACTAACCAGGCACCAGTGAGTGGCTCACACTTAACAATCCTAGCTACTGGGAAGGCTGAGACCCAGTTCAAGACCAATTCAGGCAGAAAAATTCAAGCATCTTCTCTTATGTTAATAGCTAGTAGAAGAGCAGAGCTGTAGTCATAGCTCAAGTGGCAGAGCAACTGCCTAGCAATCACAAGACAGTTCAAATCCCAGTGCCACTACCACCGCCATTCAAAATTTAAAAATTCTACATTCCATTATCAGAACTAACCTTTTTGAACTTTTTATATTCCTGGACTATCTTATCTTCCAGCTCCTGAAACAGAAAACTGTAGTTTAACATCGAGAAATGAGGGAGATTAACTTTAGTTCTCAGTCTCCCAAATGATACTAATTTTTCTGCCAAAACAGGTTTGCTTGTCACTTTGCTTAGTCATTGGACAAACACAGGCTTTTAGGTAGTTAAGAAGGAGGGGGTCCAGTCCTTACCTTGTGTTCTGGAGTTCCTCGCTGAACTCTTTTGATCTCTGCTCCCAGCTCTATGAACCTTTGGCTTGCAGCGCCAACACGGGAATGGAGGATTCGATATTCAGCATAATCTGTCTCAAAATCCTGCTCATAGGCCTGTTGCTGCTCCGCACTGTTAATGGCCCTGTATTGCCTGCCAGGGGAATTGTCACCTTCAACCTCATTGCCCCCATAGCCCTCTGCTTCCAGGGAACGTGTGTGTGTGTGTCTGTCTGTCTGTCTGTCTCTGTCTGTCTGTCTATCTCTGTCTGTCTGTTGTGTGTGTGTCAGTTGTGCCTGGATCTGGCTTTTTCTGTGTATGTGGTACTGAGGAATTGAGCCCAGGGCTTCATGTATGCTAGGCAAGCTCTCTATCACTAAGTCACCTTCCTAGACCTCCAGGGAACTTACATGTATAAAGCTTGTTAACATTAGAAATGCAGCCAGTGCCAGTGGCTCACACCTGTAATCCTACTCAGAAGGCTGAGAGCTGAGGATAGTGGTTCAAAGTCAGCTTAGGTAGGAAAGTCCATGAGACTCCAATAAACCACCAGAAAACTGGAAGTGGCTCTGTGGCTCAAGTGGTACAGCACTTGCGTGGAGCTGAAGAGCTGAGGGACAGTGCCCAGGCCCAGAGTTCAAGCCCCACAACGGACAAAAATAAAAAGTAGAAATGGAAGAACTCACAGAAGGTAATCTGGTGCTTCTTCAGGGCTTGGGGATTCAGAGTCTAGAAAAGAAAGGAGAAAACACAGGTGATTATAGGTCTCCTTTCCACTGTGGTAATTTTACCCTCCTCATTAACTCACCTGCTCCACCTGAGGGACTGTGTTGCAGCCTAGGATCCATGTCTTCATCTTTATCTTCTTCCTCCCAATCTCCTCCCTCTTCTAAATCCCCTTGTAGGAGACCTGGAGATAGAGGCAGAGCTCTGAGCCTCTTCTCTTCTATTTCTTCGGTGGCTTCAGATGCTGGGCGTTTCTGTTGAGGAAAAACAACTGTAGCATAAACAGCAAGCCAGAAGTACTTCCTGTTTTGCCTTTTATCCTCCCCCAATAAAAAACTTGCCATATATAATCAGCTTATGATTTTTAAATTTTAGCTTAAATGAGGTGTTGGATCAAGACTCAATGCATTCATAAACTATCGAATGACAACTTCTTTTTTTTTGGTCCGGTCGTGGGACCTGAACTCGGCCTGGGCGCTGTCCCTCAGCTCTTCAGCTCAAGGCCAGCACTCTACCACTTGAGCCACAGCACCACTTCCGGCTTTTTTCTTTTTGCTTATGTGGTGCTGAGGAATCGAACCCAGGGCCTCAGGCATGCAAGGCAAGCGCTCTACCACTGAGCCACCTTCCCAGCCCTGAATGACAACTTCTTTGTACAACCACTTAAAGACAAGAAAGCTGGGTGCCATGGACTCATGCCTGTAATCCTAGTTACTCAGGAGGCTGAGATCTGAGGATCATGGTTCAAAGTCATTTCAGGTGGGAAAATCTATGAGACTTTCATCTCCAATTATCTATCAATCAAAAACCCAGAAATGGAGGTGTGACAGGAGTCAAGTGCTAGCCTTGAGCACAAGTGGTAGAGCACTAGCCTTGAGCATTAAAGTTCAGGGACAGTGTTCAAGCCTCAGGACAGAGAAAAAAAAAGTGCCTTTCTGGCACGTGGAGGCCTTGAGTTTCAAACCCTAGTTTAAAAAACAAGCTGGGGGGCTGGGAAGGTGGCTCAGTGGTAAGAATGCTTGCCTTGCATGCCTGAGGCCCTGGGTTCGATTCCTCAGCACCACATAAGCAGAAAAAGCCGGAAGTAGTGCTGTGTCTCAAGTGGTAGAGCGCTAACCTTGAGCTGAAGAGCTCAGGATGGTGCCCAGACCCAGAGTTCAGGCCCCACAACCGACCAAAAAAAAATAAAACAAGCTGGGTGCCAGTGGCTCATGCCTGTAATCCAAGCTACTCAGAAGGCTGAGATCTGAGGATCGCAGTTCAAAGCCAGCCCAGGCAGGAAAGTCTGTGAGACTCCTATCTCCAATTAACCACCAGAAAACTGGAAGTGGCTCTGTGGCTCAAGTGGTAGAGCTCTGGCCTTGAGCTGAAGAGCTGAGGGCAGTGCCCAGGCCCAGAGTTCAAGCCCCGAGATCAACCAAAAAAAAAAAAAAAAAGTCAGAGCCAGTGGCTCACACTTATAATCTTAGCTACTCAGGAGGCAGGGATCTGAGGATTAAGGCTCAAAGTTGGCCTGGGCAGGAAAGTCTAAGAGACTTTTTTTTTTTTTTGGGTCTGGTCGTGGGGCCTGAACTCTGGGCCTGGGCACTGTACCTCAGCTCTTCAGCTCAAGGCTAGCGCTCTACCACTTGAGACACAGCGCCACTTCCAGCTTTTTTCTTTGTGTTTATGTGGTGCTGAGGAATCGAACCCAGGGCCTCATGCATGCAAAGCAAGCGCTCTACCACTGAGCCACCTTCCCAGCCCCCCAAGAGACTCTTTTATCTCCAATGAACCACCATAAAACCAGATGGGTAGCTGTGACTTAAAGTGGTAGAGTGTTGCCTTGAACAAAAGAGCTCAAAGACAGTGCTCAGGCCCTGAGTTCAAGCCCCATGACTGACACATCAAAAAGAAAAGTGCAAGTGGTGCTGTGGCTCAAGTGGTAGAGCGCTCACCTTGAGCTGAAGAGCTGAGGGACAGCGCCCAAGCCCAGAGTTCAAGCCCCACGACAAAAAAAAAAAAAGTGCTCTTTGAAGAGCCCTTGCCATTGTACCTTACCTTGTCTAGACGTTTCTGGCTGGCGGAAGGCTGTGCCTGATCAAGTTCTCTGTTTGGAGGGTGGGTCTGGTTCCTAGGATATTTAAAGAAGGACCAGGGTAGGACATGAGCCCAGACGTGTTATGGCATTGAAGGGTGGAGATGCGACCAGTCCTTCCCCTAGTCCCACCCTCTCCAAGTACCTCACTTCCCACGGTGTCATGTGTTCACTAGAGGATCCTGGGAGTGGCTGTTGGGCATTGCTTGTCAATGCGTCTGACACCTGTCAGGGAAAGTGGAGGGAACACGTGGCCCCTCAAACTTCAGGCTTTGCCTTACCTTCGCACAAACTCCCCGCAGTTTCTAGCCTCACCTGTTGGACAGCCACCTCTGGCTGTGCCCTGGCATCCCCGTCACCTTCAGAATAGTCGGCCCGGTTCTGCCAACTCCCAGGATCCCTCACAACTTCAGTCAGATGTCTGTGAATGGACAATGGGCCTGGTATAGAGTCCATGGCTGCCCAAATGGTGAGACGTTCCCTGAGTGTGCCCAGGCAGTGGAGGCGGTTAGGCCCAGATCTGGAAAGAGTCACAGACACACAGACACACACACAAGGGCGGAGGAGAGCTTTTATGAGCCCCTCTTCACATTCCCCTCTCCCCAACCCTCTCCTCCTGCAATGTGCTCCCTCTTACCTGCCTAGGCGTTGGCACACCAGGTCCAAGCCACCTCCAGTGCCCTCCTGGCCACACTGGGACACTGTGAAGGAGAAGAGGCAGGACCAGCCAGGACCTGGGATCCTCAGATACTGGGGTGGAAGCAGCGAGTAAACTTCATGAAGCCCACCCCTCCCCCTCCTGCCCATGCCACTGGGGGGTGGGGGGACAGAGGGAGAGAGAGAGAGGGAGAGAGAGAGAGGTGCAAGCCAGGATCCCATGGGGCTCGTTAGCGCATCAGGTGCAGTGGGGCCTCAGTTCCCCCAAGAGGCTGAGAGGGCACGGTCCCCTCCACCGCAGCCTCCTGGGATTACAACCCCAGCAGCCCCCACACATCCCGCTGGGGGGCTCAGTTCTCGGAACTTCCTCAGACCGTGACCCCCCCCCCCCCACTCGCCATCTCAGGCTCGGACCGCGTTCACCTTCCGGGAGCCCGGGCTTGTGCGGCTCTCCTCCCCGCACTTACCCCTCGGGGGCCTTGGAAAGCGATCACCGGCCGGACCTGCGGGGAGAGCCAGGCTGAGCGGTGTCCCCCAGCTCGGCTGTCTAGGGGGGGAGGGGGAGGGGAAAGTAGGGGTGCCGAGCTGGGTGCGGGGTGTGGGGTGTGGGGGGAAAACACCTGCTTCGTGGGCTTCCCTGGCAAGGAACGGGTGGTCCGGAGTCTGCGGGAGCCGCTGTTCTTCCCCAGGTTCCGACGGCAGTCGGGGACGGAGGAGAAGAAGGGTCGGGGCTGGGGGTGAGGGGGCTGCGGGACGCACCTGTTGCCGCAGACAGTCTTGCAGCGCCCGCAGCGCCGCGTCGTTGAGCCGGAGCAGTAAGAGGCTGGTCCGTGCCGCAGGGGTGAAGCAGAGCCGGAGTTTCCCACTTAGAGGTTCTTGGGGTCCCTCCATGGCGGCCGGGTCGAGCGCAGAAGCCGAGCGAGGTGGGCTACAGGCGAGGGGACTCGGCCGCCACCTTTGCAGTCTGTGCCCGGACTCCGGCGGCACGCCCGGTAGCCCAGGTCGGCCCCGCCCTCCGCCCGGACCACGCCCAGGGCACGCCCCCAGCCAGGACTCCGCCCCTTCCTCCAGGCCCCGCCCCCTGCCGAGACCCCTCCGGGTCCGCCTCAGTAGGCTCCGCCCCCCCGGCCAGGCTGCCAGGTGCGTTCCCAGCCAGGTGGGCGGAGCCCCACTCCTCCCGCCCTTGGGGGGGTACGCCGGGACACCGCCGCTCACACCCCCACCCTGAACGGCCGGGGTGACTTCTTCACCCAGCGCTCTCAGCCCCGCCTCCGTTTCCGCAGTCCTCCTGAACTCGAGAATTGCCGTCGGTTAAGTGCGAAGCTTGAGCCTGCCACCCTCCAGAGGGACTCAGCCTGGGAGGCTGAGCAGGGAGAGCGGCCCGGGTGGGTCGGCGGGCTGGGTCCTGTGCGCCTCTGAGACCGTGAGCCCCCTCCTTCCCCTCCCCTCCTCCTTCCCCCCTCCCCTCCCCGCCCCTCCCCCCACACCGACCAGACGCGGGGGGCAACCCGGCCACGCGGCGCCTTTGCTTCTGCCACCCGCGGTGCTGCCGCAGACCCGAACCTGGTTTCTGGACAGGCTGTGTCCCGCCCGGCGGGGAGATCTGGGGGGGTGGGGGAGGGAGAGCGACCCCTATCGACGGGTGTGGGGGGGTCTAGGGTGTGAGTGGCAGCCAGAGAGTTGCTGGGCCCCCGAGAGCCTCGCACCTCAGCCCCAGGTGTTACCTCCGGGCACAAACAGATTGAACATGGCCAGAAAAGCAGCTGGCTCACCCAGCGCATGCCGTGAAGGTGCCCAGACATCCCGAAAGCACAGGTGCCTGGAGCAGCGAGACTCCGGGGTTAGTCCCAGGCCAGCCCGTGGGGTCTCCCTATTTTTAATTTTTATTTGTGTGTGTCCCTATATTGTTGTTTCCTGAAATCCGAACCAAGACTTCGCTGTTAAACCCCCAGACCTGCATGATGATCTCTCAAGAGAACTTAACGCTCTGCCTCAAGTCAGATTACCCATATACAGTTGTCAAAACTCATCCACTACACGCAAAATGTGTACTGTAGCCAGGCATGGTGGTGTACATCTTTAATCCCAGCGCTTGGAAGGCCGATAACAATTATTTCCATTTTCAGTCCAGCCTGGTGAGATCTTATCTTAAAACAATAACAACAAAACTGTGTACTTTATGTATAGCATGCCACAGTAAATGAGTTCTCAGGTCATTGCAATAAACTACCAAGCACCACAAAAACATTTACCTGTCCATCAGTTTCCTCTGTTTCTCTGGGGGACAAATTTGCTAAACATGGTCATGAGTGAAGCTGGTCTCCCAGACTTCCTTTTCTTCTCAAATGACAGCTGTGGCCTTTTCCAAAAAAAAAAAAAAAAAAAAAAAAGATTGTTCTGCTCATGCCTGTAATCCTAGCTACTCAGGAGGCTGAGATCTGAAGATCAGAGGTTCAAAGCAACTTAGGCAGGAAAGTCTGTGAGACTGTTTTTTTTTTGGGGGGGGGGGTCCAGTCATGGGGCCTGAACTCTGGGCCTGGGCGCTGTCCCTCAGCTCTTCAGCTCACACGGCCAGCGCTCTACCACTTGAGCCACAGCACCACTTCTGGCTTTTTTCTTTTTTGCTTATGTGGTGCTGAAGAATCGAACCCAGGGCTTCATGCATGCAAGGCAAGCGCTCTACTACTGAGCCACCTTCCCAGCCCATCCGTGAGACTCTTACCTCCAATAAACCACAAGAAAAACCAGAAATGGCACTGTGGTTCAAGGGGTAGAGTGCTATCCTTAAGCTGAAGAGCTGAGGGACAGCACCTAGGCCCAGAGTTGAAGCCCCAAGACTGACAATAAAAATAAAATAATTACCTTGACACTCAAAAGGACAGACTAGAATGGTGAAAATGTCTGGGGAAGTAGGGGAGGGGAGAAGGGCATGAACTCCCACTCTTTGATCAGCATGTTCCTGTCCCAAAACTATTCTCATTGTTCTACCTCATATCTACCTCCTCACCACAAGGATAACCACCAGATCCATCAGAGCGTTGCTCTGAGATATTAATCATGGGCCTAAGGAGAAAGACACAGACCCTCTCTGTTGGACAAGCTGTGAGATGTAAGAGCAGGTAGTGGCCATCTCTTACTATGTCAAGGAATGTGAGTGTAAGCCAATGAAGCAAAGAGACAAGGAGGTATTGCTGGGGTCACTGGTTTCTGTTTCTGATATTCAGCCACAGCCTAGCCTATTCACTAGTTTAGTTATATTAATTAGTAAGCCAACAAATTCCTGTTTATTCAAATGGGTCTAAACGGGATGTTTCAGTTACCTGAAACATCCAAGCATCTCACTTGTCTGCTGATCTCCCTCATCCATCTGTTTTGTTGTAATCCATTTACTTTTTTCCAGTGGTGGGTCTTGAACTCAGGGCCTGAGCATTGTCCCTGAGCTCAGAAGAGCTTAAGGCTAGCACTCTATCACTTTGAGCCATAGGGCTTTTCAGGTGGTTAATTAGAGATAAGAGTCTCTGAGACTTCCCTGATCTGGCTGGCTTTGAACCAAGATCCTCAGATTACAGTCTCCTGAGTAGCTAGGATTACAGGAGGGAACCATCCAGTGCCCTGCTGTAATCCATTCTGTTCCTTCCAGAGTGATTTTTGTCAATTTATATCCTGCTGATGTAAGGATGGATTACACTCCCAGGCCTGTCCCTTTGTAGTGTTTTTTTTCTTGGAAAAATTATTTTTGATACTTCAAAAGGTAACTGTGGGGAAGGAGGGAGGCTGGGAATGTGGCTCAGTGGTAGAGTGCTTGCCTAGCATGCATGAAGCCCTGGGTTCAATTCCTCAGTACCACATAAACAGAAAAGCCAGACATGGTAGAGTGCTAGCCTTGAGCAAAAAGAAGCTCAGGGACAATGCCCAGGCCCTGAGTTCAAGTCCTAGAATGGAAAAAAAAAGTAATTGTGTGAGCGAGCTTAAGTATTAGAGCACCTGCCTGGCAAATGCAAAGCCAATACCCATTTGGGCCTGGTTTGGTGGTGCTCATCTTTAATCCCCAAACTTGGGAGGTTGAGACAGGAAGATTGCAAGGTTGAAGACATTTTGGGCTACATAGTAAGTTTTGTGTTGCAAAGCTAGGGGCTGTCTTTAAAAAAGAATTAAAAAAAAATATATATATATATATGCGCTGGGCGCCGGTGGCTCATGCCTGTAATCCTAGCTACTCAGGAGGCTGAGATCTGAGGATCGCGGTTCAAAGCCAGCCCGGGCAGGAGAGACCTTGAGACTCCTATCTCCAATAAACCACCAGAAAACCGGAAGTGGCGCTGTAGCTCAAGTGGTAGAGCGCATGCCTTGAGCTGAAGAGCTGAGGGACAGCGCCCAGGCCCAGAGTTCAAGTCCCACGACCGACCAAAAAAAAAAAAAATATATATATATATATATACGGGCCAGGTGCCAGTGGCTCACACCTGTAATACTAGCTACTCAGGAGGCTGAGATCTGAGGATTGCAGTTCAAAGCCAGTCCTGGCAGGAAAGTCCAGGAGACTCTTATGTGGCACTGTGGCTCAAGCGGTGGAGTATTCCCCTTGAGCTGAAGAACTGAGGGACAGCACTTAGACCCAGAGTTCAAGCCCCAAGACCGACCAAAAAAAAAAAGCCAGCCTGGGCAGGAAAATCTGTGAGACTCTTAGCTCCAATAAACCAATAGAAAACTGGAAATGGTGCTGTGGCTCAAGTGGTTGAATGCTCGACTTGAGCTGAAGAGCTGAGGGGCAGCACCCAGTCCCAGAATTCAAGCCCCATGACTAACAACAACAACAATGTATATATATATATTTTTTTTTTACATGAAAAGATATATTATCTTCACAGAACAGAAATTTACTTCAAAGCACAAGTAAGATCGTCCAATCTTCATTCAAATTATACTGACATGTGTTTTGATGGATCAGTGCTTATGCTTTGCACCCTGTGAAATATTTTGAATATCACCCTGGCATAGAATCTGTTTTTGTCCCTGAAGTAATAATCACAATTTGTGCATATATATATATATATATATACACATACATATTTACAATTATACAGATATTCATACATATGTCTGTATAATTGTATATATACATACAGATATGCTACATGTATGTATATTAAACAGTGACATGGAAAGAACAGAAGAGGTAGAAGGGGAAGGGGAGGAATGAAAGTATGGAAGAGAGCTTTTCTTAGCTTGTTTATTTTTTGTCGGTCATGGGGCCTGAACTCTGGGCCTGGGTGCTGTCCCTCAGCTCTTCAGCTCAAGGCTAGCGCTCTACCACTTGATCCACAGTGCCACTTCTGGGTTTTTCTGCTTATATGGTGCTGAGGAATCGATCCCAAGGCCTCGTGCATACAAGGCAAGTACTCTATCACTGAGCCACCTTCCCAGCCCAAGCTTCTCTTTTCTATATTGCAAGGAAATGAGCAGGGCTGTATGTTTTATCATTGTCTGCCTAATCCCTAATATGATAGTTGGTACATACCTAGTGCGCAATGAAAATTTGCAGAATGAATCCCCAACAGTGTCTCCTGGAAAAATTAGACTGGAGGTGAGGCTCTCAGGTTGGGTCCTGACAGGAATGAAAATACCTTGGGCACAATGGGTCTGGTGGGGAGTGTAAAAAAGAAGAGACTGCTTACAGGGTTCTTTCATGTACCGAAACTGCTGAAGGTGGTGAGGTGCCGGGGGCCGTGAACTTGTTTCCTCTCCTAACACTATTTTACTCATCTCTCTGTCTGGCTCACTTCCGCCAGGGGGCTGGTTCTATGGTCTCGCTACATGCAAGGGTACACATGCCACTCCATGCATGGGAACATATGGGTTAGGAAGCCAGACAGCACAAATTGTTTGGTTTTGGGGTTTTGTTTTTTGTTTTTTCCTTTGGCTAGTCCTAGGTCTTGGAACTCTGGGACTGATCTCTGTCCTTGAGCTTTTTTTTTTTTTTTTTTC